AACTACCATGAACTATTCTTGAACTGAGAGCGATCATGTCCTTCTTATCAGCCGGACAATCCACTTTTCTTTTGAAAAATCATCGGAACAACCGTAATTTCAGTTAATAGAACAAGAGAATTGGAATAAGACCGAAATAATGCAGTTTGACAAAGTTGTGTAAACAAGGACACCCTTCGATTTTTTTGGATCTTTTTCAAAAAAAAACCCTACTGCCTGACGTTTTAATTAGTCCTGGGACTAATAAATGTCAGGCAATCGAAAAAACTTAAAGTGCCGTGCCGTTGTGTTTGCAAACTTGGCGAACAGTATTATTTCGGTGTTTATTCCATTTTTCTTCAAATTCTTGTTCTATTAACTGAAATTATAGTTGTTCTGACGATTTAAGAAAAAATTCAATTGCCTGACGTTTAGTTCTAGGCCTAAACGTCAGGCTGACAGACGTTTGTTTAGACACTCGAAATAAATTATAGCTGTGCTGGTGAGTTCCGTTTGAAGACAGCTGGCGTTTTTTTACAATCCTAGCAAATAAACACGCCCAACATTCCCTTTTTGACACTCAGACCGTTTAGACTTCTGATATACAAAGTCGATCACTTGAAAGAGCAAAGCCACTTCAAACAACCTTGTGAAAGAACGAACAAGAATGTCTTTCTTGCTAAGACTATCAGCCTTTGCCATGTTTCTTTTGAATGTCGCGGACTACAGCTCTTGCCATTCGGCTTACCCTCCAAACTACGACAGGGAAAAAGGTCTTCTTTTTGACTTTTATCCTGCTCAAAAGCTTAACCTTCCAAAAGGAGCAATGAAGAAAACCAAGTATGTTGCTGATAACATGGACTGCGTGTTCGAATGCATGGGTGTCCATTGGTGCCGTTCAACCAATTTTAAAATCGCTCCTCGATCTAACGGTCTCCACGCCTGTCAACTGATTTCATCTGAACACTTCGCTGGGAAAGAGTACATGGAACCAAGTAAAGCGTACAACCATTATAGCGTTAAGGTATAAGGAAAAAACTAAACTACCACACTATAAGTAAACTATATATATGTAGAGTTTGAGGTCCGTTCTTGAAGGCCTATGTATCTCAATCCAATTGACGTTACATTATTTAAACTATAAAAAAATAAAGGTTTCCCAAGAGATTTTCAATATTCTAACACTTTGCAGTCAATTATTTGAAGATTTTTTAAAAAAGAACTACCAAACTTATGCTTGTGGAAGAAAATATTCATTTCCAGTCAGCATTTGTCTAGTATATAAATAAATGTTTCGACTACTGCAGTGATCTATCTCCAAATGTTTCGACTCCAATCATCAAGTATCCATTTAGATATTTCATTCAACCATTTGAGAATCAGTTCAGCGTACGTCTAGCTTTCTGCATTGTTTTAATTTTTGTACTAACTCTCACCAAATCGCGAGCAATGCATTGAATGCCCATTTCTCATCACATCAAAGAGCTAGTACATCCTTTTAAAAATGTACTTCACAGTATAAATTGCTCACAAGTGATTGTCTAATAAAGCTTCTCTTTTGAATTAAATATATGATTTCCTTATTTGCCTTTAGAATCCATGTCAAGAAAAACCCTGTCGTAATGGYGGCAAGTGCATTTTACAGGAGAACAGGCAGCATTCTCACTGCGAATGCAAGAAGGGATTTGGAGGAGAAAACTGCGAAAAAGCCGGTATGCTAATCGTAGATAGTATTTATAGTGACAAAAGACGTGCAATGTATGCAAAAATGCAGAAATGTGATTTTTGTGACGAGAACTCGTTTTGAGTAGAATTCTGTTGCAAAAATATAATGAAAACAAACCCTTAAAGAATGTTTTCTATCAAATTCAGAAATGGTTGTTCAGCAAAAGGTGTAAAATTATCGTAATTAGGCAATTCGAGCAGTTGTCACAAAAACTGTGAAARGTAGAGTACAGAAATCTCAATTCGCTTTTATGTACTTCGTTCGCCTCCATCGACTACATTTTCCTTTTCCTTGTCCGCTCTTGAAGTAGCTCCAATCAGGTACCGTGATATATGTGCGCGCGTTGTGATTGGTTATCTAAAAATAGATCAGTTATCGGGACATCTGATGGTGGCGATATTATTGGGGAGATGGACACTTCTGGTTATGTACTTCTGATCGTGGTTAACTTGAAATCAGGCTGTCTAGGTTCTAAGGGCGAGGTAAATTTAAGTGAGCTTTTTGAAAAAGGCACGGAAGCAAATTTTTTTTCCAAATTGAACGAGAAAACGTATGATTACGTATACGAATGGTTATTGTAAGGATGTGTTTTATTTAGCTATTTGATACTTTATACTCCTTTTTTATTTATTCTTCAAAATTATTGACTACTTTATGCTCGTTTAGAATTAATACTATTCTTCTTTATCTTTGTTTGAGCTTTTCCCCTGTTTTCGCAGACATTTGYTCTTGAAACTGACTTTCACTACATTGCTCATATAGGGTTCCTATAGTAAAGTATGTTTTATATCAAATTACTTAACCTTTGGCTTTGTTTTTCAACTCTATTTGACTGTAATAAGAAAGCTACTTTTCTTCGGTACGGAGTTTTGTCTGCATCTTTCTTCATTCTGGTCTAAACTTTTCCTCTGTTTTCGCAAACCATATTGGTCTTGAAATACTTTCGCTACATTGCTCGTATAGTATGATATTTTCTATCAAATTCAGAAATGGTTGTTCAGCAAAACGTGTAAAATTCTCGTAATGCAAACTTCACTTCGTTCGCCTCCATCGACTACATTTTCCTTTCTTGCCTTGAAGTAGTATCAACAAGGACCAATCAGGTGCTGTGTTACATGTGCGCGCGTAGTGATTGGTTGTCTAAAAATTATCGGGACATCTGTCGATGCTGTCGATATTATGAGCGAGATGGACACTTCTAGTTATGTACTTCTGGCACGATTTATTGCATAACCTTTCCGATTGTTTTGGAAAAACCTATGTTCTTATAAGAGGACTGTTCTTACTTTATTTTAATATTTCCCAATGTATAATTCGTAACGCTTCACTAGAATGTTTGGAGTTTAGTTTTGCAAGCAGCTATAAGTGCATATATGGGTTCATCAATTTTGGTTTAAAATAAAAGTTTAGACTGTCATGAATTATGTTTGGTGGGTTAAACTCGAAAAAAAAAATTTTTAATGTCATTTTTTAAGGCCTAAAAGTGCTAAAGATGCCTGTTTTGGGCCTCCTGTGCCAAAATTTTGGAGCGATGCAGAAGTCTAGTTACTAACATTTCATGACGTCATTCACGGAACTCGTCAACCAGAACAATATTGTTTCCAGTCATTTTCCAGTCAAAAACTATAAAAATTCTATTTAATTCTGTACTTAAGAATACGATTCCTCTTCCAAAATGCCTGATAGCAGTTGTCAAAACATAGTTAACTATTAACTATGGTCAAAAGTTGTGGTAACATAAACAGTCGCGTGAAAACGCTATATTTCCTAGCACAAAATTCAGTATTACGGCGACCAGCGACAACAGACAATTAGACGCCTGAAAGAGACGAGATATACACGTTAGCGCTCGTTAGCGAACTTTGCAAAAATATTTGTGAGTAATTAGAGGAAAACACGCGAATTCTTCCATAAAACCTTGAATGAAGCCTTTTATAATAATACAGTTTGTCCGTCCATATTCATACACTTTGCCTAATACAGTATATGATCGCGTAGCTACTCAGTTTTTGGCGAAGTTTGCCCGTCCGTSARAGTAGGACTGCTTAAAAGGAGCGCTTAGTATTTMTAAACAAACTTYCCCTAGTGTGGTTGGCCGTGATTTGAAGAAATTTCTGAAATTTTGGACTGCCGTGCACCGAATTKTTTTAAGACCGTGACCGGCTGCCGGGCATCTTACAYACTGTGTTTAAAATACTCAGAGAAAGTTCGTGTAACTACATTTCTAGACAACATTGGCGAAGTTTGCCCGTCCGCATATAAAACCTTTTTATATTAATACTCAGCGAGCCACGCTTCATCTGTAATCGGTTCGTCGCTGTACTTTAAATCGTTCATGTCGCGATATGCTTCAGGATGCTTCGAAGTGCTCTTCGATAAAGTGGTCATTTTGCGCATTGATTGGTTTCAGATTCAACTTCATAATTACTCAGAAATGCAACAAGAGTCACTACATTCACTTTTGCAATCAGACATGTCTTTTTTCAAGAAAAATCGTTTTAAAAATCGTTCTCAAAATTACGAAGAACTTTCAGAACATTACTCGTGACTATTAATTCCAAATTGTACTCAAGGTCGAGCGAATTCCTATACTAATTGCCATATATCATTAATTGGTTTGAATTTCATTTAAGCAAAAAACTGCGCCGAAGTACTTCAAAATGGTTATAAGCAAAGTGGAGAGTACGATGTGTATCCCGACGATGGCGGGGGTTTCAAGGTACCGAAAGTAAATCGATGATCTGTTAAATCATGAAAAACAGGCCCCAAGTAATTTTTGATTATTATGCTTGCCTTGCTTTCACAAAAACTTTGAGCTAAGACACCGGCTTTTCCCAGGTTTACTGTGACCAGCAGACTGCAGGGGGAGGATGGACAGTCTTCCAGAGAAGAAAAGACGGTTCGGTTGACTTTTACCGAGGATGGGTCGACTATAAGAATGGTTTTGGAGATCTTAATGGCGAGTTCTGGCTTGGCCTGGATAAGATCCACCGACTGACCCAAGCAAAACAAAACCGTCTTCGTGTTGAGGTTGGAGACGTGCAAGGAAATAGCGCGTATGCCGAGTACGATTTATTTAATGTGACCAGTGAACGAAGCAATTACAAGTTAAGTCTTGGAACTTACTCAGGTAAATCAAATGTGGCGGACACGAACTCCTTTATGCCAGATACAAATTTGAACGGCTTGATTTCATATGGCGGACACAATTCAACCATCTAAGAATCCCATGATATATAAGAGAATATCATCCACAAATTAATATTTTCAATAGCTAATAAGAGTTAAATGATAGATGCGATTACAAAAAAACAAACAAGCAAAAAAAAAAAGAG